GGTCAAAAGGACCGATAAGAGTATTCCGATTTCTTTTTTTTGAACTTGTACTTTCACCATGAATTAGTTACACAAAAGCCGGCTCCTCAAGTCAGTCCAACGACGAGCGTTCCTTCTTTCATTGCCTACGTAAGCAAACCCAGACTTTCCCATCCTTAATGCTTCAAATGCTCCCTTCTAAAGATGACATGGGAGTGGACCCGACTCGATCGTGGTTTCCTAACGATCGAGATTAGAATCTCCTGATCGTATTCGTTCGGGGTCGCCAGTCGCCTTATGTTTATCACACGACTTAAACGGTCAAAAGAACCGATAAGAGTATTCCGATTTCTTTTTTTTTGGGTCTTGGTCACTTCCCGGATGAGGCTTGTCCTCTTTATTTCTTATTCATTCAGTCCCGTGATGTTCAGTCAGTCAAGGAATCCTATTGCCGTACTGCCATGTAATCATGACGAGACGAGGTTTTTCCTCGAACTGAGCGATAAGCAAAGCACCATAGAACGATGACTAAGGTTACCTGACCACAATACAGTCTGGAAATGGGGAAATCTTAGAGTTAATATCACAGAAGTGCAATGGGCGCTTCATGAGACGTCTGAAATCCTTGGTACGTAGTTGCACAAATCCAAATATACCTTCTATTAAAACGTTCCATTCGTTTTTTTCTGCGTTTTTATTCGTTTATCGCCGAGTTTGGGTTTCCTTATTGTAAGCGTTCCTTCACTGATATCGCAAATCAAGCATCGGGAGCATTTGGGTGCCCTATCTTGACTGCCTTTCACTCTTCGTTGGCATTATTCCAAAGACGTCGATGAGGGCTAGCCAAAGATCTCCTGCAAGCACTCACGTTTATACTTCATCCGTCGCCAGCGCACTCGTTCCATAGGGTCCTCGTCGAAATGCCGTGTTTACAATTTGCTCTGCACAGCTTCAAGTTTCCGTAGGAGGGTACTACACAGTAATGACTGAAAATTTTGACGAAACCAGTAGGCAGGTACTGTTCCCGGACTTCATTTGTTGATCCCAACCAGCAGAGGATTTGAATGGGGAATGAGCGCGCGCGCGTTTCGCCCATTTTCGAAAACGCTAAGTGGGCGGGATTGGGCGAGTCGACTTGTAAATGCTTTTCGCGGGCTGTATGATTCTCCAATTCACCGATTCTCCCAATCAATACGTATCCTGTTCTTTCTTGCGGGTTCTCTGATCCTCGCATGGCGCCGACTGTGAACAATGGCTGGCTGATTCCGGTCCACGCCTAGCTTTCGAGATAGGAGACAGAGGTGCCGCATTCCGTTGGGCGGCTGTTTGCTCGATGTTGACCACTCAACCGCGATGCTTACTGATTCGATGTTTTCCTACAACCTCTTCGATCCTGTTGGATTTCAATGGCTCGTGGTCTCATTCCTCCCGGCGGACCTACCTAACCTATTCGACTCATGATTTTCGTTTCCCGTCAACAAATCATATATTCTGCTGCAGGAGGTTGAAATGTAAGCAGGCACGTTTCTCTATATGATTGTATAAGACTGGGTTTTCAAAATAACGTAGTTTTGTCTTTTTCCATGTTTCTTTTTTTTGTTTTGTTCAGCTCAGTTGGAGCGCAAGTCTTGTCTCCATTTTTGAGGGCACCTGAATTATTCCTGTTGGGATCCATTCGGGGAGTTTTGCTTTTTAGCTTTCTGCGTTAAGTTTCACGATTTGGCAGGTCTACTCCCATTAGGGCACCCATAAATACATGTGTTAGAGGGAATTGTCTGGAAATTCCTCATAAAAACTCCTTTTTCAATCTTTTCTATTTGCCCAGCATTTCTTTTCTTCAGTTACAAGTTTTTATTTTCTACTCCAACTCTACTGTTTTCAATTTTTCCCAATTTTTTGGGCTTGAGTGGTTGACGAAAGGTCCTAGTAGTGTAGCTTGGAGCTGTATTACTGGCCAACAAATCTTAGGGAGACTGGTTGTTGTTACGGTAAGAACTTTACTGTGACTTTACTGCAGTCGCCCTTCTCCATTGGCTCACTACAGCCGCTCTCAGAGAAAATGATCACAAATGTACAGTTAGTGATCATTCTCTCTGATCAATATGCTCTCTTGGTATAATCACCCACGAATGATGGGTAAGGAGCAAGCATATTTCTCAGAGCATAACCTGAATAATTAGTCTTAATATGAGAAAAGGGCGAAGGTGATGTAATAGCTGGCGCCCTATTCCACGCGCATAGTAACGTGTTGGAGTCCCAGATATCCGCCTTGGCCAAACAAGCCTTTCATCCCTCCGGGGTCGAACATTTGGTACCACACTCAATTGGGAGGATTAAGTACTGACTTGCTCATCGATTGGTCACCGCAATTCATTGTATAGGCCACATACGCATTCAATACGCCACTACGTTTTTGAATGGAAATCGGATGCAGGGCTCATCCCTAAGACAAAGTTGATCAGCGCCCCAACACTTTCTCCATACTATGAGAAAAAATCAACTCGTAATCACTAAATGGGGCAAATGGGAGCAGTTTGAACTGAAGAAAACATAACTTCTAGTAGCAACTGACGACCCTGAAAGGTCCTTTTTACCTACGAATATGTACTTAGTTGGTCTTTCCACCTATGAGGTCGACTTTGACCGTCTTCTTATGAACAAATGGCTAGGGTGAATTGAACCAGCAAGTGAAGATTGCCATCCTTTGATCGAGCAGGCACGCATGTACCATTCAGGCTTGGGCTATTAAAGGATTTTGGAAACGGCAACCAGCAGTAGATGCTTATCGTTCTCGCAAACTTTTCAGGCCGCTTTTCCCAGACTGCCCTCCCACTCTTCCACGATCGTGAGATCGATAGTTGGTAACGGGTTTTCCATTATTCCGGCGAAGCACTTCCATGACTCCACGATTCCCTAGGTCAATAAGTATTCAGTGTTGATAGTGGATTCCAGTATGATTCTGCTCCGTGTGTCCATGATCCCATGAGTAGCCAAGTCTATACGTCAATGCTATTCCACGGTTGTCTAAGTACCATAGTAAAGTTCTGAGGGAATAGTCCCGCTACTTACTACCAATACATCTACGTTCTATTGGAATTGTTTGGTATTCCTTTCGTGAACCTTTTCAAACCATGTGTATACCTCCTATGGAAGGCCCAGAAAATGTAGAATGGGATGTTTGACAGCCAGAACCACGGAATGTCCATTGTGTCCGAGGTAATAAACGCGGCTTATTGCCCTAAATTTCTCTCGGGAACAAATTTGGGAAGTAGCGATAGCCCTTTCCGGCGGGTGAACGTCGGCACTTGTTTTTCGATAAGTATTAAGTGAAAGGATTCTCTTTTCGTTGCTCGTTGTATTTTGCCCTTGACAGACTTCAAGTTCTACCCGCCCCTCCATCACCACTTTCTTCTTATTCTTTGGACACTTCAGCGAGACACTGCTCTAGCACTTATCTTGCATGGTGGCTCTCAGAGCCGTCTCCCCTTTCACCCCTTTCACGCACTTTTTCCTGCACATACAGCTAATTTGCATATTTGAATCTTTGTGATATTTATAACACGCCAACTTCAAGTATTAATTCCGCGAAACCAACTTGAAGAAGCTTACTCTTCTCAGAGAAAATCAAGTGGCTGATGATTAGAGCCTAAAGTAGTAGCTGACTCAGTCCCATTCACTGATCGTTTTCAGACAGATCGTTCTTCGCAAGAGATTCGTTCCGAAGATCCTACACACCGACGAGGAAATTCCACGCCACGAGCGATCACTCGCTGAAAGCAATGAGTAAACCCCCATCAGTGAGTTTATATTCTGTTTCGTAGAAATTTAGCATGTGCGGACATCATTTTGCGCTAATTATGTGGTGCTCATAATGTTGATTTACTGACAAGATTAGGGTTTTTGAGAGTACAAGAGCGTTTTCTCTGTGGGCCTCATTCAATTGTGTTAGCGTTTTTGCTTGCACCGTTCTGAGCAAACAACGACTTCTCATTTGGCTTGTCTACTTCTTTATTTTCAAGGGTTCTTTCCACTTGGTGGCTCGGATCTTTATTCTTATGATTGTCGTGGGCCCAAAGAGCAAAGTATTCTATCAGTTCCATCAGTTTCGAAGGGTCACTGGAATGGAAAAGGACAGTTTCGAGTTATTTCTTACGTACGGAGCAGAGTCAACGTCGATTGGCCGTCATTGATGATGCTTGCCAAGTATCATACTACCTGCTACCAACTGCTTTATGCCCCCCCCCCCCCCCCCCCCCCCCCCCCCCTCNACGTCGATTGGCCGTCATTGATGATGCTTGCCAAGTATCATACTACCTGCTACCAACTGCTTTATGCCCCCCCCCCCTCTTCCTCCTCCTCCTCCCTCCTGCATGAGTAAGGGCTGCAATTTCCGTTCATATCGCCGAACACGCGCAATATGACGAAACTATGGAAGTCTATATAAACAGGGTTTGCCCTGGGGGTCATAGCTTTGTAACTAAGCCTATTATGATGTTTCGGTTGCAACATTTTTTTCACACTCGCGTGATGGGCAATGACTCGTCTTGTTAGACATTCTGCTCTCCAAAGCATAATTCAGACTTCATCTTCGGCTCATTCACAGCAGCCGGCTCGCAGAGCATGATGTAGTACCGTCATTGTTCCGCAGTAATAACGTCTTCATCATTCCGAACAAACGCCGATCAGTATTTGCGGTCGAGTTCAAAAAGTTCGAAATCTGATTGTTCTGGGGACTATTAGGAACGGAACGTAAGCCATGTTCCTTCATGTGCAGCCGGGCTAAAGTCGCATTATCGTTCTGTGAGTGTCCCTACCATTTTGCGAGAGAAACCGCTCGTGATGACTTCATATAGCGTTCTGTGCTTATCACACATACTTCGGCATTTCCGGATCATTTTACTTACAACTGGACGACGAACGTGCTGGTGATCCCTTGCACTTTTTTTCCATTCACCAGACTTGACGAATGTACGTCGGTTTCTGCCCGTCACTGTGACATAGATGGAAAGCAGTTTGACTTCATGCAACAGCTTGACCTTTACGTAGATCATGAAGGGCTCTTGATTAGAATTATCGATCCTTTATTGCATGCTCTTTCTCGTTTCCTTGTTAGCAGCATTCGTTATAAAGTTTTTCCTGCAGATTTTGGTATATACTGGTGGTCATGACGAGTTGTACTCAAGGATAAGGAGCTTGTTATCTCGGTTGATATCAGCGGATCGTTACACGGTATTTCACCTCTCACCAGAAGCAATGAAAAAGCAGCCATGGATAGAACCAACTACGGTAGTTGATAAATTCTTTGCCACTCTACAGTATTCTACTCCTTCCATTTTAGGCCTGTTTGATTGTTGCTGACACAAATGAAATGGACGACCACTCTTGGTCTAATATGCAATTATATTTTAACCAGGTTCTTTATTTATTCATAAAATTGGGGACTATGGTTGATTATTTTTTATAACATTATTAAACCTCGATTATAGTCTGGAAAAATCATATTTGTGTGTCAAAATCGCTTACTTGCGAGTCTAACTACATGTGAGTCATCCAAGAAGCAGGTAATCGAAAGATTTCCAATAAAAACTAGAGCTATGGTTTGAGAGATTCCTTGTCTTGTACCTACATTGGTGAACTCATTGTTGTAGGCTGACATGATAAGGATGGCGTTTGGATCTCGGGATAGCATATCTATGGGAAAGGATTTTGAGAATTTTCTTAAAAAATCACTGAAAACCTTGTCGAAACATGGCCAGGTCAGTGCGACACATTTAGGAGTTGCTCAATCCAAAATTGTCTTATTCATAAACTTCTTCAATTAAGGTGAACAACACCTTCCATTCTAAAGATTTCGCTGGTGGAATGAGTTATTCTGTAGTTCTCACCAAGGTTAAAGGTCTGAAAAGTTTTTCTTTCTCATTTTCTCGATTTCTTCCCTTCTGATAAAATCTTTTTTGCAGATACGCCTTTATATTTGTACATGGAAAATAGCGCCCATCAAGCTTCGGCCATCTTCTCTGATGCCACCTCTGAGCAGTTGCTTGCTCCTGGTTTGTTATCATCGCATCGCTACGCCTTTCATATGTCTTTATGCTATTCTACTTCACAGGTAGTCGAATACTGAGTGATTCACTCTCTCGTGTTGGTGTAACTGTTACTGAATGCACTCCGCCGGCACTTACTGCAGGTGTCATGACGGCTGCTGAAGACTCAATCATTGAGAACATGCTGGTAAATGAAGACTTCTGCACGCTTGCAAATAATATTTATGCGCATTCTAAACCTTGGCTTTTTAGGGAGTTCGTTACGGTGAAGAAGTTGGTCAGATGCCAAAGCTGTTCCTTCGCAAATCCGAGAAAGTGGCCGAGCAGGGTTTGCCGGATGTCACCGAGACTCTTCTTCCTATCGAAGTTACATCAAGGTGATAATATTCATTCCCACTGCTGAGGTTCTGTTTTTCACTGAGTCTTCTGGAGCTGAGTTACTGAGCTTGGTTTCCGCCATCTGTCATCATAAAAGAAAGAGTAGTTGAAGCCTTTAGAGGAAATGTTCGGTCAAAAATGCCTCGGATTCATCGGAGTTTATCTTTTATGTTTTATTTATCTCTATGAAAAGGCTTATTTCCAGATCCTCCATTCGCCCTGATATTGGATTTGATTTTTCAATGTATTTCTCTCGCCTTCGTACGCGAAATTTAGGCCGCGTTATAGTGTATGTTCCTGTTGCCACAACTACCATGGATATTAATGCAAGGTTTGAGTATTCTAGACTCATATTATCCATTTCCGCATCTGATTGATGAATTTAGCTTTTGTGATGCGATTCCTACTTGTGATGGTGCAGTCGT